CATTGATTGGGGTTCACGGGCAACCACTGAGCACTAACTCCTTACTTCGTGCTCACCGACGGCGTTATAGCGATCCCGGTTATCCCTTTACTGTTCTGTTGTATTCCGGACTCGGTTCCGTGAAGTTGGTAGTGGTATCTGTCTTGTTGTGTCCTTTAATTCCACTTGATTGAGTTTTAGGATGTTTATGGGCTTGTGTTGGGCAGGTAGGTTAAGCCTTGATCTATATCCTTGTTGCCCAGGATTTTGGTGTTACGCTCGAGCAGGTCGTTATGCGCTCGAGCGGAGTTTGGTTTCTAGTCCAGCGCTCGAGCGGGTGTTCTGGCGCTCAAGCGGGGATTGCACACCTCCAGTATTTCGGTTTTCTGCAAAACTTCTGCATATGTGATTTCTGCGCTCGAGCGGGTAGTACTTTCTGGGTGTAAGTTCTGGGAGGTGGAAATCTGCGCTCGAGCGGACTGGTTTTCACGCTCGAGCGGAAGTGCTTTATTCTTGTGTCTTGGCGCTCGAGCGGGCCTTATTGCGCTCGAGCGTGTCCAGAGTTTTGTTCTTGGCGCTCAAGCGTTGTGTTCTCTGCTCGAGCGGGTCATACGTATATGAGTTATCCGCTGGGTGATTTCAAATCACTTTTTGCTTTTCTTTCTCTCTCCTACTTTTTCTAAAAACCATTTTTGAGAGCCTCTCCTCTAGATACTCCCTTCTCTCTAGGGTTTGATCTAGTTAGAGTGTCCTCCTTCTCTTTGGCCTTTGTAAAAGTTGTGTTGATCGTCGAGGGCGTCATTTTAATCTGAAAATTTCGGAATTTGGAGCATTTTGGTTTTGGTCTCCTTCTCCATTGGAGCTCAAACTTTGAGGTAGGGATATCCTACTCCTTTCTATGAGCTTTGTCTTTAAATTTTAGTATTTTGAGATGTTGGGGTTGGTTTGGTAATTTTGTGAAAGTTTGGGGCTTTTGTGTAAATTTACAAAAGTTGGGGTTTTAGCTATATAAAGCCTAGATGCATGTTTGGCATGGAAAAGGTGAAATTAATGATAAAACATTAATGAAAATGAAACCTAAGGGTTGAAATGTTAATTATGAAAAATGCCCTAATTACATTGATTGATTAATTTGTATAATTAATTGTTGGAAATGAGGAATTGAATTGAGAATATGGAAATTGAAAAGGGAAGGGGTTAAAGGGTGTAGTTGGATTAATCGTCACTCACCTAGTTGGAATGTTGATTATATATCCATTGTTGCATTTATTTTCTGTATAGAAATAACTGCTTTGGGCTATCGGTGGAGGATAGTCGTGATTGTTGTAGACAATGCATGATGATTAGGCGAACTGAAACTAATCACTGGAATGTGTCATTGAGATTGATGATTGAAAGAATACATTAAATTTATGTATTGTGTGATGATGTGTATAATTATTGTTTATATGCATCGTGTTGTGTTGGAGGAGATAGGGGATATACTCCACGGTTTAGGGGAAGATAGGGGATGAACCTCTAAACCGGATGTTGTTGGGAGGAGATAGGGGATGGACTCCGTAGATAGAGCTCATATGCTTATCTAGTGATGTATTGACAGAGCTCATATGCTTGTCATTGGAAGTGTGATAGTGCTCATATGCATATCTGTGGAAGTGATGATATAGCTTGTATGCTTATCTGTTGTTGTGTGATATAGCTAGTATGCTTATCTATTATGAAATGGGAAGTGTTTGATATGAGTCACTGTCTCATATGAATTGTTTGGCCAGGTTCTGAGCCATGGTTGTAAATTGAGAATTGAAAGAAATTGGAAAATGAATTGTAAGATGGACTTACATGTCAAGAAACTGTAAAGTGTGATAAGAGGAAGCATCAGTGTTGGCCATCTATCAACTGCTAATCTTTTAGTCATTGTTCATATTTGGTTTAGTGTATTTCTACTGGGCTATGGCTCACCCTATATGGGAATATCATTTTCAGGTACAGGTAGCATGCCACCTCCAAGGACATAGCTTGGGAGGCTAGAGGCGGACACACTTTTGTCGTTTTATTTTTGATGTATTACATGTAAATTCAAGCCAAGGGCTTAATGTGTAAATGAGTTAGTACTCTTTTGTTGTAACCAAGTGTTAACTTGGAAAGCTGTAAGCCTTTAGGGCATTTGCTTTTGTCGTTAACATGTAATACTTTTTGTAATGAAACTCTAATAAATGGAAGAATGTGGAACTTTTATATATCAATGCATGTTTAATTGATGGGATTAATGTTATTATTTTGAGGGCGCTACAGCGAAAGAGATGAGTTTTCAACGAATAAGATAAGCAAATCTACTCAGATTTGATGTAGATATACTCAGATCTGCGTTAGGTCCGGCTAGAACCAAAAAATAGTTGTTAGAGTACACGTTTCTCTTTATATCTGTCTCTTTTCTTTGATCTCTTAGTTTTAATACTTTTTTTGTACTATACACTTCTATTTTTCTATTATAATGGAAAAAAATTTCAAGTCCTGAACAAATTGTTTTCGAGTTTTAATTATAGGCAGTAAAAATTGTAAAAAAATTTACAGTTTTAGTTTTTTTGGTATTGAATTGAATCATGCTTTAGAACTGTAAAATTTTGTAGTTTCATAACTTTTTTTAAAAGTGTAAAATTTTACAGTTTCATAACATGTTTTTCAATTTGATTAATAAGGATAAATACTTAATAGAATCATATTTTAAAACTGTAAAATTTTATAGTTTCAAAGCTTACTTTTCAGTTTGATCAATATTAAAAATTATTTACTTAAACCCTACAAAAATTGAAAATAACATTTTTTTTTCCATTTACTGTTCGTTGTTCTTATATTTTTTTTTTCTTCTTTCAGTTTATTAATATTTAACATATTCTGCTTTTTTTTCACCTTAATTTCTTAGTTTATTTTTTCTTTTTTCGACAATATTCTAGACATTCTGGTGAGTCTCCGGCAATATTCTTGATGTCTAGCGAATATTCTAAACATTCCGACGACTTTCGGTGGCGTTCAAAATATTCCGACAATAATCCGGTGAATTTCTAATGATATTCTGGCGACTTCTCGGTGATGTTGAATATTTCGACGAGTTTCCAATGACCGTCTGACGATGGTAAAATGTAAGAGCGTCTTTAAAAAAAAATTAAAAAAAAATTAATAAGAATTAAAAATATATAAAATTAATTGGTATAAGTATTTTATTTTAAAATTAGATAAATTTTAAATTTTATATATGAAATTTATCAATAAGTTCTCCTAAATAAACGAACCGAACTTGAAATTTATCAATAAGTTCTTCTTCTAATTTCTCTACTCTCTGTCTTAGCTTCTCAAAGATTCCATTTGTTTCACCATTGGAGTTGATAATCCACACGCAAAGAACCCTCTGTTTGTTTCCTGAGAAAATTGACGAATTGCAGGACTTCAGTTTCTGCTGTTAGTCCCTATCCGGAATTAGAAAAAGAAAATAAAGAGAGAAAAAATTGGTACTAAGAGTTCAGATGTACTGAAACAAACTAAATTTGACCGACCTAATTGATTTAATATCGACCAAGTCCAGTTGAAAACTCATAATTTTCAATCTTTTAACCTTTATTTGCTGTTCCTGTGGTTTCTCAGCTGGGCTTGATAAAGTATGAGAATACATCTTAATGAGGATCATGGATAATTGGGCTCATATATTCGAATTACGGGCCCAATTCTCAAAAATATGTAGGCAGCTTATGAAGAATTGTAGGATAATGGGGTTGTTTGGTAGAGCTTATCTAAGTTCTTTATAACTTTTTTTAGTATGGAATTTTGTCAAACTTGTTTGGCGCATTTTCTACTTATAACTTATTAGGTGGAAATAGCTGAAATAAGTTGAAAACAATTGGCTTCTAAAAGCTGGATGAGGGATGCTTTTGGTTTATGCTTTTAATTTATAATAAGTTTCAAGCACCAATATGTGGAAATGAAATTGGAGAATGCTATGGCTAGTTAATAACATAGAGCATTGAATGTAAGACCTAGTTTGAACCTTTAACTTTGAATTCAATGATGTTAATAACACATATGGTGTGTGACATATAAAATGTTGTTATTGTTTTCTACGAAGTTTGGAGAGGGGAAGCAAAAAGAAATTTTGTCTCATAAAACTCCTCAACACGACTACGGACATAGAACCAACCACATAAAACAATCCTAACCATACATGTCAGGTGGGGTCTGAGGTTCTTTATAAAATATACAATTACACTCAAATTGTTCTACCTATATTGTGTGGTTGGTTTTGTGTCCATCTACTTATTAATAATTACTCTTTTTGGTTGTGTACTTAACATAAACGTGGTGGAGGCTTTAGACAGAACTTTGTGTAATGATTCATCACAAGTTGTAATCATATGGCAATGACATCAATTTTGGTTCTATTTATTTGTTTATTTTTGTTTAATTTCTTTCCAGCCCTCATGGGGGGTTTTCTTACAATAATTCTATAGACCGAACCAACTACAGAACTTGTTACAGAAAATATAGTTAGAGTAATATGAGTAAAGCAATATCTTCAGGACTCTCCATGTGTATGGCATTTAATGACTAAAATATTTTTTTTTTTCAGTCAATTGTTTTTAACGAAAATAAATAATTAGTTTAGACTGAAAATAAATTAAAAATTTAGAGTTTAAATTAATAAAATTTAGAATTTATAAAAGGTTTTGGTTCACACATGATGGAATCTGAAAGATGTTACTTATTATTTATTTTTTTGTAAAGAAAACGGGTATCAACTTTTTAGGATACGAGTATCAACTTGGGATATAGATTTTTTTTTTTTTTGGTTAAAAATAGAATGTTAGTATGTTAGGTTACAACTTAAAGATGCCATCGCTGATTCATCAACTTGAACTCTAGACCTATTACTCATTGTACCCTAAGGTGCGACTATATGTCACTCGATCACAAGATCCTTGGCTAAAATATTGATTTATTAGGAATTTTTTATCATAAAATATTCAATGCGGAAGTCGAGAAATTGAAGAGAAATATATGAGTAATTCTTACATGAAACAAAACATTAATTAAATGAAATCCCAAACTAACACTAAATTTTTTATTATTTATTCTAAATCCATGATATGTACATTATATATATACATATAGACATCATATATACATATATATATATATATATATATAACACTCTATTAAAGAATGAAAGCAAGCAGGTGCTGTGAATCTAACGCAGCAAATTGTCCAATTTGACCTATTGACTATCGATAATTTCCCTTGAAGCTATGTGTCCATCAGTCGAAACCCGAAGCCACTCATCTAAGCGGTGCTCCATATGCTCAAAAGAAAGCCTGCAATTGCAGCCTGTCGAATTCTCTGTTTTCTCAACTTCCTGTACTACATGTTTTCCAGAGATGACGTGCCTCACGTTGCTTCTTCCATGTGGGTGAAGAGGATTGTTTCGATGGGTACCGAATGGACAACCAACCCATATGATCCAAGTCTTGCTTCCAACTGATGGGTCTTTCTGTGGTCTCTCCTAGAACCTTCTTTGTTCGGTGCACCACTTGTCGACAAATAATTGGAAGCTTTCACTGAGAAGAGAAACAAACACAGGTTTCTTCTCAATTATGTTCACCTGATGTTTGGGTTTCATGGTCCCCCTTCTTGGTGTTTGAGTTGTGATTTATATATTGATTATAGGTTTGTAGCCATTGAATATGCCTACGATGTGTTTGTGAATATGTTCATAAGAGAACCTGCATGTTTACTTCTTTGGAAGTTAGCCATCTATGTTGGGCATACAAAAACAAAATTGGTGAATTTGTAGATTTAAAGACACTACAATAAATTCAAAAACAAAGCATTGAAAAATTAAACCTTAAACCCAGAACAAACCATCGATGGCCCCAGATGTCTCTTTTTGGGTGGTTACTAGATTTTGCGCAGCCAAAAGTTCATAGTATGTTGTCGATGACAGAACTTCTTTGAAAATTTATGTAGCATGATATTGTTTTACTTTAGCTTTTGTCCTCACTGTGAGGTATACAGCCATCCATTTTTCCTCACATGTTTTTTGTTATGGTGCAGTGCACTTTTCATCCTTTCATTTTCAAGAACAAAAAAATCTACACAGCTCTAATTTGGTGCAGGGTTTTGGCATTTTTATTTGTAAGTGCTTTTTTATATTCCATATATTTTTTAAATTTCATGTTGTATATTAGAAAGATTCTTTTGTGACCCAGAAATTAATTGGTAATTGAAATGTTTAGGGGTTAGGACTTATAGTTCCAAGTATATGAACATAGCAGTGGCGAGAGTTCTTAGGACGAACTTAAGAATGCATCACAAGTTAGGAATACTGTTTCTTCATTACATTTCTTTACAATTAAACGTGTGTTCTATGCGGTTTGTGGCAACCATTTTCATTCATGTTATATCCACACTTCGAAGTAACATTACTGATAACATTATCCAATATTTGATTGCATATTTCATGTTTGATGAAAGCTATATGATTTTTCTTCATTTTCATACTTGCTTTTTAATTGAAATATTTTGTAAAATCCAAGCTAAATATGCATGGGCAGAGTTTATATGGTACTAATGTTTTTAGGAACATCAATATTAAATTTTTTGGAACTTTAATATTGTATATAATCTTCTATTCCACAAAGATCCATAACCAAAAAAAAAACAAAGTGCCTAATAAAAAATGGTCTTCCAAAGTAAAAACATAAAAACATGTCACTTGTGTTATTTTGTTAAACTTCTATTGGGTGAAAATAAAAATGGTCCATATACTATGATCTTCCAAAGTACAAATAATTATTATGATTAGTTTGGAACATCATTGAAATGTCACTAGAGCCTTTCATGTTTGTCGTTTTGTGGCATTTTTCAAAAACGTGCCACTAAATATCATTTTTTGTGGCATTTTCTAAAAATATACCACTAGTGTAGTGCCACTAAAGTATGTTTTTGTTGTAGTGTATTCTCTAATTTAATTTTGAAAATTTATTATACCAATACGACATTTTTAGTCATATTACACCATTATATTTTTAGAGACTAAATTTTTAAAAGAAGGTATATAAATAGATGAAATAAGAATACTAAAACTGACATAATGTATTATATGAAAAGATTAGATTATTTTTTCAGAGGAATACCTTTAATAGTTGTTATATATATAAACTTGGTTAATTGACAAATTCAATGCTTTGAGCACATTGATATGCAAAATAATATCAACAACTGTATAACAAGAAATACAACTATGTGTTTTCAAAAAAATGCAAAAATCAGAACTACATGACGAACTTGAAACGAGATTTGTAAAAAATAAATAAATAAATTTTTAAAAAAAAAAGTGAAATATGTATAAAACATAATTACAATTCACCTATAATGTGAAAAATATTTACATCCAAACAATAATGCGACCGCGTGGGAGGCCAACTAGTATATATTAACAATGCAAATCCATCCCAAACTAACACTAAATTTCTAATTATTTATTTTAAATCCTCAATATACACACTATATATACATATGCATATCAAATATATAAACAGAGCAAATCCTGCTGATGCGTTTCTTTTGTTTTGGCAAGAGATGGAATGAATTCCAAAGTCTTGCATTGAAATATCTGTGATTTTGTATGCTTTGTATTTTATTACTGTTAGTATATTATTATACTTTAGCATTGTTTATTATTCTTTAAGCATTGTATACGTTAGTTGTTATTATTATGTTTGTTAGCTTTATGCTTTCGGCTAGCTTTAGCCTTTCGGTGCCTCGCGTCTCGCATGCCTCGCATCCAATGACAGGCTATAAATGAGAGCTAAGCTCCCTTTGTAATTGGACAACATATATCAATATATACATACAATTTATTCTCTCTCTATCAATTTATCTTACATGGTATCAGAGCTATAGGTTAAACTCTTAGTGTTCTTCGTCTTCCGGCGGGCGGCAACCTTACCTTGACCGCCCGCCGGACCTCAACCTATTCTCCTTTTGAACTTGTTGACAGTCGTATCGACAACAGCTCTACAATATTGACGCTTGAGTTCACTACTGGGCATGTCTCAAGCCCATGCACCATCATCTTGCTTCAGCACACCAACATTACTGGCTACTCCAAACACTAGACATAAAGCCCCAATACTACAATCCCAAGCTCCCACTCAGAACTCTCTCTTCTTCCAAGAAATATGAGGGTTCATCGGATCTCATTAACCTTCGCTACCACATGGGACCCGTACTCTCCTCCCCGATCAACATTTACCTCATCTGGTACGGCAAATGGGCACCCACCCAGCAACTCCTCATCAAGGACTTCCTACTCTCCATCTCCACCACCAATCACCGCGCTTCCCCCTCCCCCTCCGTCTCCGACTGGTGGCGCATCGTCTCCCTCTACACTGACCAGACCGGCTCCAATATCTCCCGCTCCGTTCTCATCGCCGGCGAATATTCCGACCACCGCTACTCCCACGGCACCCATCTCACCCGTCTCTCCATCCAGTATCTCTGTGTTTTTTACTTCATGGCCGTGAAAACCGAGAGCTAGAGAGTGGTCTCCATGCATGTGTACTGTGTATGCATTTGCCTCTGTCTGCTGGGTGTGTGTTGTGGATGAGTGTGGATGGAGTGATGTGTGTGTGTGTATGCCGTGTATTGTGTGTGCTGGGTATGTGTGCTATGTGTCTCAGTCTTTTTCTTTTTTTTTTCATGGCTTTGTTCCTTCTCTCTCCCAAAATCTGTGTGTGTGCTTTCCCCAAAAAAAAAAAAAAAAAAAAACCATCTTTTATTCCTCTCAGGGATCCACCCCGATCACCATTTTACAAAAAAAAAAAAAAAAAAAAAAAAAAAAAAAAAAAAAAACACAAAAAAAACACAAAAAATCAAAAGCACTCTCTCTCCACTCAAGGACACCCACCACTTTGTCAACTTTCCCACCTATCTTCCTTTACCTTTTGCACTCTCCTCACCGGCTCCCTCCCCACAAAATAGAATACCTTTCTTTATTTTATCTTATCTTTTTTGTATCATGTGTATTGTGTGTGTGTCCCCTGTGTCTCTCCCCCATATCACCATACCCTTTTATTTTATCCTATTTTATTTTCTTTTATCACAAGCACAACAGTATCAAATACTCACAGTGCCAGCCTACCATCACAGACTTTTTTTCACAAAACCCACAAATTCAAATTTCCGTTGCCTTTCCAGATTCTTGTTTACACTACCTTCATTTTATTTTCTTTTATTTTTTTCTATCTTTCTTTTTCCATCAATATTTCATTATTATACAACTCAGTTGGTGAGCATCCACCCTTTTTCCATTATCTTGTTATTTTCCACCAAAAAAAAAAAAAAAAAAAAAAACAAAAACAATTAGAAATCATGCATGAATCCTAACTATGCTGAGATGCCTAATGCAACATATGCAAAATGCAACTAAATAGGCTCGGCTATCTAAAGATGGCATATGAATGCAACACTTGAT